TTTGGAATTTAAAAAAGAGGAAGTTTTTAAATGAAATAATTGTTTTTTTTACAATTGTTGAAGTTTGTCATTTTAACACTTCATATTATCAGAATAACTCTTTTGTACATGAATGCAAAAATATTTCTACAAGGTGAAAAGGTAGAAATAACTAACTGAAAAACGTTTTGAACTTGAACAAAAATAGGACCTTAAATTGAGTGAAAAATTCATATATTCAGAACTAAATATTCAATATATCATTGTAACCACCAAGACACAGTAGTGATTGCTTTGCTTCAGCAGACAAATAACACTAATTGTGGCACTAGATTTTATTTTAGGGTATCAAAATCAAATACATATCCAGACATTTCAGGTTTTATTAGTGAAATTCCCAATATTGCACCACTATGTGTCAATCTATCGCATGAAATAAATACCTTTTATAAGTGCTGTATTCAAAAGAAAAAATTGTAAAAAGTAAGATATTATTGCATATTATAGACAGTGTCTAAATGTGTAGCTTGTCCTTTATAAGCCAAGAAAATGTTCCTCATAAGCATACCAGACTTTCTTAGAATCTTTCAAAGCTATCTTCTCCATTGGACTTTATGTCTTTGATCCCCTTTAAAGCAAAAAATAAATAAATACAATCTTGGGTTTGGCTTAGAGGTTTTACACAGCACTCCAGAAATGAAGTAGTGAAGCCTAGAATTTGATGCTTTCAGGTGAATGCTTTTGTAAGTAACATGGCATTGTATTGTGAAGCAAAATGTGTGTATTTTTCAAAGCATAAATTATAAGCCGTTTGGAGAATAAAGCCAACACCGCAGTCGGAGTGAATCAGTGAGAAAAAGAGCTGAACATGTGGAGAGTAGATGACTGGAGGCGACTTGGCAGGGACTGTGAGGACTTCTGTAGCAAGGCGCTGATTCTGTTGCCGAGCCCTTGAGCCAGGGGCATTAAAACTCAACAGCAGCCAAGAACAATGGCTAACAGCCCCACAAATGGACAACATGTGAGCTGAATTACAATCTCCACCGCCTCAGACGATAACATCTGGAGCCGTGAACCCGAATCATGGGCTCGGGGCACGGTCTCGGTGTTGAAAATCGAGGCGTACGGCTCAGGTGAGCCCCCTGGAGGCGGGGTGAGGGGTGAGACGGGCAGATGCACCGTGGTGAGAGTGCAACCTGACAATCTGCTGACTGAGATGCTTCTCTCATTCCGACCCCGGCTCTCCTGGGACTCGTTTATCTGCAGAGTGAGCCTGGCTTTTTTTTTTGAATCACCTACGCTGTAATGTGTGTCGCAGCTCATTACTGACAAGGCTCGCTGTGATATGATCCCAGGGGGTGTCGGGGGGGAGGAAGGTGACTCATCTCGTGGGGCTTACAGGCTCACAGAAACCATCATATATCTATCTGTCTGTCAGCGAAGCTACAATCACGTTAAAATATGGAAAAGTGTGCGATTTCTGCTTCTTGTCGTTTGTAAAAAATCTAATCATGAATTAACAGTGACGATGGGTTTCATTCCACTGGCCAAATTTTGGTCTGATGACTGCCAGAGCTTAAAGAAATCCCTGAAATAGAACCTGAATGATCTCAACACGTTATACTCCAAACTAAAAAAAGCAAAAGATGAACAAACATCTATCAGTCTGAAATAGCTTATAAGGCAATTTCTAAAGCTTTTGAATTCCTATGAACCACAGTCAGACACATGGAGAAAACATGGAGCTTTTATGATCCTCAGATGTTTGGACTTTTAGTTTTTGTCATTTTCAGTTCTGACCATTTCTTTATTGTTTGTTTTTCTCATGTCTGGACATTTTAATTTATTCCTTGTGTTAGTTATTCTCATTATTTGTGCTTTGGATTAATCTCAGTAGATTAGTATTTATTTTTGTCTTCCCTTTGGTTCTGTTTCTGTTTGTCTTCTCCCCAGAGCTCAGCCTACCATTGTATAACTCATCCAGACTGCTAACTTTCTCATTTTTCCCAACCCGCTCCATCCCCAGCTGCATTCATTCACCTGTAATTAGCTCTTCTGGTCATTTTGTCTTTTTCACTCCCTCATCTGTATATTTAGCTTCCTCTTTTCACTTGTTCTCCACTGGTTCCTTCCATACCTGTCTATTTTCCGTTCCTAGAGTTATTTTTGACCTACCTCAGTTATTGTAAGGCCTCAATATTTTACTAATGAATTCTTTTATAATGTCATTTCAAGGTTCCTGTCTGCATTGTGGCTCTTTCTTAAATCCACACCTCACAACGGGAACAGTGATAATCCTTCCCAGGAGAGGATAACCTACCAAAATTACTCCAAGAGTGACGACTTATCTGTGAAGCAGCAGAAGAACCCAGAACATTTAGAGCATTGCAGAAATCAGTGGTCAAGATTCAACAGTGAGACAGAAAAGCCTGGCTGAAAAGCTATAAGTTCCCAGGTGAAAAGCATCATTGACATCTCAAAATAGCCAAAAATCATTTTGATGATCCCAAAAAGCATTTGGGAAAATATTCTATAAACTGATGAATTGGATATTTTTAGAAGGTGTTTTTCTCGTTGCGTTGCATTTCCCATTAAAACTAACAAAAACACCTCAGGAAAAGAACACACAAAAGAAAGTCTAATGGTCTGGGATTATTTGGAATAGTTTTTTTTTTTTCCTGCTTAAGACTAGAAAAACCTTAACAAGACAACTAAATATGAATCAAAGTACATAAGCAAGTCTGTACATCCTGAGTGTAAATAACATCTTTGAAAAGCAGAAGAGCTTCATCCTACACAATAAGAATGCAGTGAGTCGTTTCTAAAACGTGAGTCAACCACAAAACACTTGTCTTTTCCAGCAGCCATTGAACAGCACATACAATGGTAAAACCAGCTGACCAAACATGCTGGAGCTCTGCTTGGGTTGCCAGGTAACCAGCTGGGCTTTGTTGAGGCTGAGGGGCAGTGTCTGGTGATTTCAGCAGTAGAAGCTTAAATGGAGGTATACAAAAATGTGCAAAATGTGAATTTTGGACAACATGTCCCCTTTAAAATGTGCCTAATATTTAGTGAAACCTGAAGAGATCTGTCTGGAGGCACATACTTCATAAAAGGTCTGCAATTCATGTGTTTCCAAATGTGTTTGAGTAAATGATGGCCGTCCGTCAGCCGGAGCTCTATTGATTTGTCTGGGCTGAATAATTGGTTGGGTCTACAAGCTGTCATGTTTGGCCTGTGCAGTTATCATCTTCCATATCCCTCTCTGATCCATCTCCGGCCTCCTCAGCCTAAACCCGGCTGTATCGATTACAACTCAGCATGGCTTTAAATTTGGACAATAATCTACCGTTTCAAAGTGCTGTTGTTACAACCTATTTGCTCTCCACGCCTTGTTTTGTTTAGGGGGGAATGTGGGAAATGTAAAAAAAAAAAGAGAGAAAGCACAACGAGGTCATCTGGAGTGGTCGGAGCAGACATCAAGCGGGCTTGCCCTAGTTTTTCTCGACAGAGGGCAGCAGTTTCTGCAACATAAGGATATTTAACATGTGTAAGAGATGCCCTGGAAATTTTATCACATGAACTTAACCTGGACTTCTGGGAGGCTAGCATGCCAATCAAAGGCATTGCAAAACATTTTCACATTTTGGCTCACTGCAACTACAAACCTTCATGTTTTTAAAGGGATTTTATTAATAAAATAGCACAAAGTTGCACATATTAGAAAAATTAGATGGAATTTTCAAGTTAGATTTACTTAATATACTACATGAAAAATGTGGTGTGTATTTGTATTCAGCTCCCTGATAACTGCTGCTCTGTGAAGGCCTGACAACATTAGAAAACGAACAGCATCATGACGACCAAGGAACACCGCAGGCAGGTCAGGGAGAAAGTTGCAGAGAAGTTTAAAGCAGGGTTGGGTTATAAAACAACATCCTACCCCAAAACACTGACAGGGTGGATCCAGAGAGCACCAGTCACAGAAGCAGCCAGGGAGAGTTGAGGAAATCTGTTGATTTAGCAACTTTTAGTTGTGAAACTTTTTAAATATGGCGTATCAGATGAGATCAAAAGTATTTCTTAGGCTATAAGGCGCCAGTTTGGCTAAAAACATCACTGTCAACACACTGTTCCCATGGTGAAACAAGGCGATGCCAGCATCATTTTGCACACATATCAAACATCCCATAGTTCAAACTACAGTCACAGGTTGAACAATTTTTCCATAATAAATATTTAGCTAACACTGATTAGCTTACCATCAATTCATATATTTTACTTTGCTGATTTTTTTTTTGTTGTTGTTATCGTATGGAATGCTTTTGTATAAAATAAATGCGAATTAATTTGCAATTATTTTCTGTAATTATATGAGAGGTTTATACCAATATAAACATATATTGATATAATGTTTATTGTGTCCCAAATATCAAATCTCTGGTAAATTTAAGCCCTAAAACAATCTTAATGCTGCTCAGGGACACATTCTGCGTTGGACCGGCCCTGTCCAATCAGGACCAGCTCCCCTGATTGGACAGGGCCCTGATTGCAAATTGTGTCATATTTGCAAGTTAACATTAATAAGCACCGAGGTGTGTGTCACGTTTAGTGGCCAGAAAGAGGAAAACTCATCCAGGATTGCTAAGGCGAGGCAAGAAGATCAGTAGCGACCCCGCTTGAATAAATAGGAGAACTGCAGCCTCCTCCTCTGAGAAAAGGTTTATGATGCGAGGAAAGTTTAGTTTTATTGAAAGAAAAAAAAAATATTCCACACTCTAGATTTATCACTTTAAATCGTGCATTATGTAGATTTTGCAGCCTTATTCACTCAGTTATTAAACTGCCATGTTTACTTCAGAGCAATAGGAAAACTTACATCTGCAACAAGTTGGAAACCGCGTCGACTTTTATTCGACTTCAGATTCAGTCCTGCTCGCCGCGGTCCGCTGAGCCTGGAAGTTTCGAGAAAAAACAGGGAAAAATCCTTCCTCTCTTTCCTGCCACGTCTGAGCCTCCGGTTCGGTACCGCGAATCACTTCCTCCGGAGGCTCAGGTGGGAAGAGAGAGAGAAAGAAACAAAGAGAGAAATTAAAAAAGAAAGAAAGATTGAAAGAAAGGAAGAAAGGCGAGCTGCGGGGAGAGACGAGTGAATGAATTAACGGTAAATATGAACAAATCGAGCCATTCTTCTCTGTTTCCTCTCTGTTGGTCGTCAGGAGGTTTTTATTTTAATTTTGGGAAATCAGAACCGAGCAGGCAGAACCAGACAGCAGATGTTTCCCGTCTCCTCTCAATCAATAACTCGGGGTTTTCTTTCCCCCCTCCCCAACATCATGAATGCTTTTTAGTGTATCAATTTCACCCGCTTGTTCAGTTTGAAAAGGTTTTTCTTCTTCTTCTTTTTTTTTTTTTTGCTACTTCATCGAACTTAATTGTCGCACTTTGATTTTTTTTGGCGCTGCAGGAGAGATAATTATCAAGCGGGGAGGAATTTACACACGCACAAAAAAACATCCAGTTGGCTGCTGCTGCTGCTCTGCAGGAGCGCTTTGCGCATGTAGGAGTTTTAACAGCGACGGGGGGAACCCTCCGGCTGTTTATATAGCTTCATCTCAAATATTAACAGCGAGCTAAAGTAGCTGCTCAAAGGGAAGAATGGAGCTGCACTCTTCTGCTTGCATTGTAACTCAGAGGGGTGCGTTCCTCTCATCCTCCACCTCCAGAGCTCTGCTCAAGTACCTTCTTTCCCCCCTGGAAGCTTTTCAGATTTTTGTCATGTTGCAGCTGTAAACTTCTTATGGGTTTCCTTCAACAATGGCTTCCTTTTTTTTTTTTTTACCACCCTTTCAAAGCCCCAGACTCGTGCTATTAATGAAACAATAGTTGTGTTTTGGACAGACTCTACCGTGTGGCTCTCTGTAGAGCTGCTCCAGAGTTACAATGGGTCTCTTCAGTGTCTCTCTGATTATTTCCTGAAGGTCACAGGCAAAAAAACATGTTGATCTTCAAATAAAGTTGTTCCTTGAGGTGCTTTGGGCAGTTTATGTGGCATTAAATCCTTCCTGATAAGAAATCCAAGTCCAGGCTCTAATTGTTTCTCCAGTTACCTTGTTTGGCTTCTTCCATAATTGATGCTGTCTTTTCCTGTCAGATGAGGTGGACGGCCATGTTTTTGTAGGTCCGCACCTTTTTTTCTAAAGCTCTTACACTGGCTCCTAGTACCTCAGAGAACAATCTTTAAGTACTTTTGTTTTTATAAAATAATTTAAGGGGTCAGTGTTGTGATATCTGCCTTCCAGACCACTCAGGTCTCCCCCAGAACCAAACATGCAGTAGCAGCAGACAGTTTTTATGCCCCACAAACTTCCAGAAAGCTGCAAAACGACCAAAACAAGCCCAAGTGTTTATTCATGTGCCTTTGAATTAGGTACATGAATAAACCTAATCAATAACAAATATATTGTGATCAATACCAGTAGAAAACATCTGATAGAATATTCAACATTCAATAATTCCTTAACCCCAGAATTGCACAGCATTCTGGGGGATGTAGGCAGACGGAACCTCAACCTCTAACGGCCGCCTGGCTCAGGTCGGTGGGATCAACTAGCAACAACCTGCTGAGTTACAGCTAAAAAATAAACAGCATGGAGTGAAATCTGTGGATAAAACAGAAAAAGGTCCCACCTCCAGTTTGGCAGCATTTTAGATATTTAAAAGAAAAAACTAATTAATACTTATCATTATTGACTGACATGGAATTTATATTTCAGCCATGTCATCCAGCCCTGTTAACCAGAATGCTGATCAACATGTTTGATGTATATAAAATGTAATATCTAGTCTCTCTAGTATATTTTGTGTTGTAAAGCACGTTGAGCTGCTTTATTGCTGAAATGTGCTATACAAATAAACTTGACTTGATTTTACTTTGCCATTGAAAGGGGCTGAATACTAATGTACACCACTTTGTATGTCATTTCCTTTCCAGTTCATAATTCTGCAGTGACATGCTTTTGTCACATGAAATTCCTGAAGGTTGTGATGAGCGCAGCCTCAGACTGATGGTTTTGTGCTCTGCTGCAGGCCCGCCATGCTGTTCAGACTCGCCGTTTTCCTCCTGGTTTCTCTGCTCGTCTTCCTGGTGCAGAGCAGCACCACTGAATCGTCAAAGAGCCCCGCCGCCTCAGTGAGCCCCTCTCTTCGTCCTCTTGTGAATGACCCGAGCTGGACTCTGGGTGTGCGCCTCTACCAGGCCCTGCGCTCCGACCCCAGCTCTGTAAACACGCTCTTCTCCCCTCTCCTCTTGGCGTCCTCGCTTGAGGCGGCGTCTGAAGGCTCGGGGGGTAAAACCGCCGAGCAGATTCGAGAACTTCTCAAGCCTCCTTCTGGGACCAAAGAGGCTGTTGGGGAACTTCTCTCCTTGGCGTTGACAAGCTTGGTTAAAGCTAACGGGACTAGCTTCCAGATCCACACATCCTCTGGTGTGTTCACCAAGCAGGCTCCTGCCATCAGTCAGGCTTTTGCGAAGGAGATCCAGAGCCGGTTCAGGCTGCAGCACCGGACGCTGGGGGAAGGGGACGCCAAGGCTGACCTGAAGCAGCTGCATGAGTGGGCTGAGGCTGCGCTCAGTGGGAAGGAGATGGCTCCTCTGGAGGCAGAAATCAAGGCTAAAGCTGGAGCCATGATCCTGACAAATGCTCTTCACTTTAAAGGTTTGTGGTAAAGCAGAGTCGTGTGCTGAGTTTTGATTGGGGCGGTCCTCTTTCAACCCAACCATGTTGCATGGTAGAGTTGAGGTGCATGTTCACACTGGGGAGCAGGTGTGTCCCAGTTTGTTTTCCCATCTTGACAAGTTAAGGTAGAGCAATATGTTTCTTAAAAATAGTTTGTAGGGGAGAAAGTACCAAAGTGGTAGAGGTAAAGCAAATTTTCTCCATTTAAATTATCTTTCAGTAACAATAGCCGTGTTTCCATGAAGGAGTTTTTTTTATGCACAGTTTTAAATGTCAGTAGAAAAGGTTGATGGAAATTTGAAATATCATCATTTTTATCATTTGATGAAAAATTTGAAAAATGAACTTTTCTCTAAACTTGATAACTAGTTGTGCCACCTTTCGTAGCAACAGATGCTATGAAGACTTTTCAAAAACAGACAGTGAGTCTCTTAAATCTGGATTTTGGCTCATTCTTCCATGCTGGATTGATTCAACCTGCCACATCAGAGGAATTTTGACCGTGAACTTTGACTGATTGATTTCAAACCTTTATTGATTTTTCTCTAGCCATTTAGAGGTGGAGTTCCTTGTATCCCTTGGATCTTTGTTTTGCTGCATCGTCCAAGTTGGTTCGAGCTTAAAGTCACAAAAATGGCTGGACATGGATTTTCACAGCACCACCATGTTTGACTGTTAGTTTGAGGTCTTTGGACATTTGTCTCAGCAGTAAATATAATATTTGGTGAAAAATCTCTCTGTAGTTTCAATCTTCTTCTTCTTTTGCTCTTTTTATTATCTTTCTAATTAGTTTTGTCTACATTTGGTTGTAAATGTGCTTTAATTTCTTATCTGCTACTTATGAAATGTGATGCAGTAAATACATAGACCACAAAATGTCTTAAAATTTGAGGTCCATATCTCTCATCCCTGAGCCAGAGTTTCAATTCAAGTGTGGCAGTGGCCTATTCAAAGTCCAGACAGAAGTCCAATTGATGCTCAAATGTTCTCTGTTTGGTCCAATGGGGAAAACATTTCAGTTTCTGGATCAGGTGAACTTGTATGGATATAACCCAGAAGATATTAAGCTGTAATTGAAACCCTTTTTTGACAAAGTGTTAACTTGGAGAAGCCGAAGACAATTACACACCTCAATCATCAGATTATTTAAAAGAAATTAATAGCAAAAGAACTGTTCAGCTGTGCACTACTGTGTGGTTCTCTAAAATCCCAGTAAAAGACGTTGAAGTTTGTGGTTGGAAGATACTGAACTGGTTTTCATCCCTGATAAACCAAATCTATAAATACAAGGTAGGCAGTTGTGTGTCTTTGTGTTGTCATGTCTGGGGCGAATCCCGTCTGGAGGAAGGTATAACTGTGTATAGAAAATGCATGGATGAATTCAGGCGATACTCCAGTTACATAATTGTTTGGATAAAATAGACATGAAACACTGGAGCGTCTCTGCACAGAGCAGAGTCATGTTGAATTACCCAATCTGTTCATTTTGGACCCGTTTGCGGCGCTGAATGGTGGTGAAGGGGGGGGGGACGCAAAAACCTTGCATGTGAATATGGCACCATTTTTCTCCTGCTCAGACAGCAACATACCCTCTGCAGGCTGCATGCCAGCATGGCCACCTGCGCTCAGAGTGCGCGTCCTTGATGCATTGGACTCCAGCTGGTGGACGCTGCGGATAAAGGATGATTCTGGGGTCCGTCGCTGAGAGCGAATCCATCTTTCATTGGCGTTTGCGGTGTTGGCGTGGGTGGGGGTGATATGTCGTCTTAAATAATTGAGTAACAAGTGCCCGGACCCTCTGCCTCGCCGTCATGCCTCACATCTGCGCTCGGAGCGCTCCAAGCCTGTCGCGGCGCAGCTCGGCTCTGTTCTTTTGTGGCAGGCTGCAGTGGCGGCAAGTTGTCATTGTTTCAGGCTCCAGTCCAGTCCATCAGAACCTCCATCTGTGATTTAATAGCTGCATTCCCAAAACATATCCATCTAATCCTTATCAGCCCTCCACTGTAGCAGCAGAGATGCGTCGTTAAAGGTGAAATGTTCCTTTCAAAAAGGAGCTGTGGGAGTTTTCCCTGCTGGCCCAACGAAATGGGCTTATTGTCCGTTTTCATGACGACCTTAAAGGAATTCAGTCTCAAAGCGACTGTGTCAATGCAACTCCTCCTGTTTCCACTCTCCAGAAAATCTGATAACGTGTTAAATATATTCTTCAGTTACATTTGTTCTCATTGTGCCGTCCCTCCTTGTTTTTCTTGCTTTTGTCGTTATTTATCAGACGCTTATCTCCCCCACCTGCCTCCTCCTCCTCCTCCTTTGTCCCCCGTTTGCGTCTTTATCTGCGTCTATCTGCTGCTGTTTTCCCCCTGCAGGTATTCTTTTTATTAGGCATCGGCAACTGAAGTGGGGACAGGTTGAGAACCCCCTCCAAAAACAACATTCTCTAAACAAAGTAGGCATTGATAAGCAACTTAATTAATTTTCCTTTGTTTGAGGATTCGACTCTATTATGAAATTAGTTTTTTTTTTTTTTTTTTTCTCCGTGCAGCAATTCTCGTTGGTTCATTAATTTTGTGGTTGGAAATGTATAAATTAGATTATTCAGACCATGACGGCACACAAAGTAGATTACGGAAAATTGGATTCCTATAGTGTTGATTCGCAATTTAGAGGTGGTCGATAGTTTGCTTCTCGCTCCTACTAGCTGCTTTTATTTATTTGTTTTTGATTTCAGGCTCCTAAATTAGTGATGGCAGTGATTGGGCATTGTCCTCTGACAAGGTGCCAGCTTTCCTTTAGGTAAAAAAATAATCGTTAGTGAGTTGCAGTTCAGGGTGGAAGTACAATGGTTGCAATGAGAACTTTTCTAAAATTGCAATAAGAAATGATCAATTTTTGGGCCCTGTTAATAGATCTGTATCTGGAGTTTGAGTTTATTAAAAATCATATAAATACTGGGAACATACACTGAAATATTCGATGTGGGTAATTGGTTCACTGATAATTCTTATTATTTTTTGATTGTGTTAAAAACAACTAACTATATCAATAGAATTGCAACATTTCAATTATAATCAATTAGTGTCAATCGTTTAGATGACATTAAACGACTTATAAAATATAGATTCCTGTTTTAGCAGCCTCTTTTGTTTTCTTTTTCTTCATATCAAGACATCCATCTGATATAAAGACACTTTTTTTATTTTGTTCTTTAGTCAGTTGCAACTTCTACACTGAAGAGGAGCTGCTGTTTAGCAGTTTAGCTAGATTGTGTTCACTTGTTGGGGGAACAAAGTCAGAATCTTTTGAACGTACACTTCCTAGATGGAGGACCAGGTCAGTGGTTGGTGGTGAGCTCTTTCTTTTTTAACTAAGGACAGACATAGATTTGTGAATGGGTTGCATACAAAGAAACACTGGGGGGATTGGGCAGGGTTAAATTAAGGAGCAAAACTCTAAGAACAGTAAACTAAGGGACTTTGGCTGACGTGGTTGAAACGGAAATATTGGTGCTTCAGAAGCTCGTCTTGGGAGTTCTTGTACATGCTGGTTAATTAATTCAGGCTTTGTTTTGTTGGAGAGAAACACCGGTGACAGTGGAAGAAAAATAATACAGTGAAAGGAACAGGCGAGGCAAAGTTACACAAGGTAATGCAAGAGCACAGGGGGGGAAACAAGTCCCTGCATATTTATCCTCAAATAATAGCTTCTGAAAGCCCACTTCGCCACGCAATCAGAAGTTGATGAGGAAGCGGAGAAAAATTGATCACTCTCACTGATTTCAGTCTGGACTTTTGCTGAAAGTTGAAGCACAGTTGCAGTCAAAGGTTTTTATTCATTCATGTGCGTAAATGTCAGTGATTTTTAGCTTTTAAAGATTTACTTCCAAATGAATTTCCAGGGTGAGATTATGAACCAGTTAAACATTTTAATTATTTTAAGGAATAAAAATAGGACACAGGAGTTTAAAGTTAAGGTCCATTTTCAGAATCGGTCAGAATTATACTTACAGGCTCAGAAGTACATTGGCCACATAGATTTTGTAGTAAGTGACCAGCTGACTTTTTTTTATGTCTTCCAGCAAATATGAATGGAGTTGAGGTTTTAGCTTTGACCAGTTTGATCATTAAGCCTTTTTCCAGAATGGTTTTCAAAGTTGGATAGTTCTGTCAAGTCTCATCAGTTTCATCAGGGAAAGCTTTTAAGATTTTCGCTGGAATGTTTTAGACCGGACAACATCTTTTTTTTTTTTTTTTTTTTTAAGATATCGGCATCAACACTGTTTTCCATATTTCCACTTTTGCTGTTTGTGAATGTTCCCAAATATGTCTCACTTTGTCTTTTATTACTACTAGTAAACTTTAAATATGTTGGAAAACGTTGATTACCAGAAGGAAAAAGGAACTGCTGTCAAAAAGCAACAATTTCTTTTTAGGGCACAATTGTTGGCCTCATTTATTTATTTATTTATTGCGCAAACTAAAATGTTGTCTTTTTTAAGGATGTGAATTATGGAAATGCTAGTCTTTCTGTAAAATGAGATCTGGATTTCATAGGAGTTTTATCTGGTTAATTAAAGGTCAGAATCTATTAAGTATGATCTTCTGCATGTGTAGAAGCTGCATCATCTGGTATTGGTGGTAAAGATGGCATCAACACTTGGCTGTGTGAATGTTGATGTTTTTGTTGTAAAACGAGCAGTAACGTTCTGGTTTTCTCCTGGACTATTAGAACATTAAATAAGATGAAGGGATGTAAAAATACATCAAAATATGAGGTTCGTCATTAATCTGAAAATGTTTATTTTCTACATCGCCTTCCTCTTTTTTTGCTTAGTCTAATTGAAATGGACAAAAGTTGTATAAAAAGGTCAAAACAACACACATAGTAAAATATTTATTTTTTCTTAATTTGATTTTGTTGTTGAAACAGGCTGTAGTTGTCTGAAGTTTTTTTCTGCAAAGAGCCAAAAGGAGGCTCTTTGAGTTTTTATTGTCAGTCTTTTTTTAGGGGCCGCAATCTGTAAAATGTCACCTTGCGTACGTTTTGCCTCCAAATCAGATCAATCATCCAACAATGGGAACAAAACATGATGCTTCACACTCCTTTTAATCTGAGCCTTTGATCACGATAAGTTATCAAACTGTCTTCACTCCGTAGCATTGTGTGCTGAGAGTGGAGATTTTTCCAAAAGATTAATCAGTAATGAGTCATCATTTGTTGTTGCCAAAGCCGGTCTGAAGTGTCATTCACAAAGGCCCAAATGGTCATAATTTCGTCAACCCACACACTCGGACACACAGACACACACTGTGATGGTCCGGCGGCTCTGAAAGTGTGTTTTGAGGTTATTACAACAGTAATTCCACTGCTCTCAGCCCCTCTTAAACTGACAGCTGTCATGGGGGGAGTTAGCAGGGCCAAGTGGGACATGTCGGACAATGAACAGTACACAGTGGCCTTCTGGACTCTATAACAGCCTCTGCAAAACTCAGCAGCTTTGGGAGAGGTTTACATTGTTTAATTGGCAGTAAATGATCGATAATTCATGCTCTGTGTTGCCGTAAGAGGCCCGCATGTATTCTTAGGGATGTCGTGTCCTTTTGAGTCCCTTTAATCATCTACAACTTTCAATGATTTTCATGGCTTTTTTCCCCCCTTGCGTTTAAGATGTGGTTGTGTGTTCAGGGCTGTGGCAGTGGGAGCTGAGCGAGGAGAGCGCCGATCGTCGCACCTTCCTGGGGAAGAAATACACCAAAGTGATTATGATGCACAGAGCAGGTAAAGACATGAAAGATAAAAACATGCAGCTGGCTGCTTTTTGATGTTAAATAACTGAAAGTAAAAGAGATTCAGCTTCTGTAAGGTCCAATCTGTTTCCCACCCATTTATCATGGTGCACCTTATGATTTATTAAGCATGCTCTCTATATTTTATGGATTGTCTTCAAACAACAACAAGGCAGAGTGAATTTGTGCCATTAAGGCAGTAAAAGACGTCAGAAAGATGCATTGTGCTCATTTTAATGCTATTTTTATAATGTCAACTTCAATTTGAGAGAAACTTAGTTCACTTTATGGCTCCAGCTTGAAAGTCTGGCTTCCTGTTGGAGTTCAGCCGTGTCGAACGGCGCAAACTCAAGTGGCTGTAAAAAAAAAAACATGTCTGCTGAGAGCTTCAACACTGAAGTAGTAAAATATAAAATGCTCCTGTCCTCAATGCTGTGATCTTCTCTCACCCCTCCTGCAGGTCGGTATCGCTTCCATGAGGATGTTGAAAACATGGTGCAGGTTCTGGAGACGACTCTGTGGGGAGGCAAGGCCAGCCTTGTGCTCCTGCTGCCCTTTCATGTGGAAAATCTGGCCAGGCTGGACAAGCTGCTGACCCCAGAGCTGCTGTCAAAGTGGCTGGAAAGAACCGCCGTTACCGGTGTGGCCCTTTCTCTGCCCAAGGCAAACATCACCAGCTCACTCAGTCTGCAGGTTGGTGCACCGATGTTAGCTGCATGACAGTTTTCACTGTTTTCTGATGGAGCGGTGCTATTTATCAACATAAATGTTTTTATTCCTTACTTTTAAGAAGCTTCAGAATGGGAATTATGCAAGAATTTTCATCAGTGCTGACAGAGCTTCTGCATGTTGAAGCATGAAACAAAACAGTGTTATTTCTAGTTCATTTTTGTGATATTTTAAAGTACTTACTTTAATTCAGCATAGTTTGTCTCTGAGTAACGATGCTCATGCTACAAAAGTCTTGGCTTATTCAAAGACTGGCTTAAATCCGATTATAAATGCTGCAATTTCAGATGTGAAGGAAGGTGATGCTGGACAGTTATTCTCCTGAGGTTGGAGTCATTTTTATCTTCATTCATAATAAATTAAATATCACCCAAGTTTATCAAGATTTATTATCTACTGTATACATTTTTTTTTGTTTTGTATTTCAAATAAACTTCAAATGATTGAAATGTTGCAACTTAGTGGACAGTAATGCCCTGCAAGTTATGTTTAAAATTACATAATAGTACAGAACCAGCAGATATGCAAAAAAAAAAAAGATTTATTAAAAGAGATAGCATAATTTAAAAGGAGTTTTAAAATACCAAGTCAGAATTAAATAAATTAAATGCATTTCGGTTTTTGGAAAAAAAAAATATTGAAACAGTCTGTCTAAAGAATCCAAAGAGAGTAGATACATCATATTTTTTTTTTTCAAATCTGACCACAAATTCAAAAATAGATTCCACACTATTATGATTTTCTTTTCACAAACTGTACAGAAATTCTGTGCACGTCTGACACCAGCCATGCTTTCATTGCTGTTATTGGATTTAAGTGGGAAAGCAGCAGCCAGGTGCTGCAAATCAAACACATCTGACTATCTAATTGTGGCCAGATCTATAAATAAATGAGCTTTGGTAGTTTGTTGCTCTTTGCAAAGTTCTTTACTTTTTCGGATTTAGATTTTTCAGACTCTGGTTTTGTTTGTGCATTTTTTTAAAACACTCTGAACATCTCAGTACTTTTTAACTTTGAATCTGTTTGAAGACTTATTATCTGTTAATTTCACAAATATTGAAAAATTGCCTTTTTGCCTTCTGGAGACTCTTCACACAACAGGCAGTTGCAACCCAAATCCGACTTTGTTTCTCAGCTTTCTGAAAGACTCAGTTTCAACCTTTGCTCTATAAATGTTGAACTGCAGCTTATGGTGACAAAGACATGAGGAGCAAAAAAAAAAAAAAAAAGAGACAGACTGGAAGAATAGTTGGACCAGACGTATACAGATGACATGGAAGTAAAAGCTTTTTCCCAGAGGAAGGGCATGCTGACTGAAACCGATTACCATGTCCTCCTTGTGTGCACGCTGTAACCTCATCACGGACTAATGAAATCTGCTCTGCCCTCGTTTCTAGTTTGACAAACATCTTTGTAGAGCTACACTGCCATGTTGCTCTGCTGGCCGTGCCCTGAAGAACAAGCTTTTGACATTAACATTGTCGGGACGCTCCGGGGGAGGAGGAGGCGGCTGTAATCTAGTGCCGAAGCCTGAAACGACTCCTGGTGACACGGCTGTGGCCATGAAAGAGTTTGTCAAAGAGTTTGAAGGGGGAAAAAAAATTGTTGTAATACCTGTAAATTTATGAATCAGTGTTTTGATTATGTACTCAAATTTGGCCTGTGATTTTCTGAGTCATCACAGCCCAGGTGTGTTTGATGAATAGTGATGAAAAAGGCTTCGGCAGGTTACCTCTGTCCGGTTATAGCAAGGTTTGAATAAATCTCCCGCAGGAATGGTACTGTTCCTGCAGTTTTAATAAGATGCGAGACAAAAAGACACAGCCTAACAGTCTCCTGCATGTTGCACTGCTGGTCAGCTGGCTGAACAAAGCCAACTACACATTTCCTCACAAATCTACAGCTACTAAGCAGATAGCTAATATAATAGCATATTATATCAGTTGTTATATTAACTGATATATCAGCTAAGATTATGATAACTGTTGCTAATATGATATATTAACTAATATAATTTCAGCTAGTATTGTATTAGCTTCTATGAAGCAGCTGATATAATCTGTTCATTATATTACGTTTACGGTTAAACTGTCAAATGAAAGCAATATGTAGGACAATGTCCATACGACATGTAAATACGAACCATTACCATTTTTCCTTTTATTTTTTTGTGGCTTTAGAAGAGTTTAATTTTGATTTTATTTTTTACTGATCCGTCTTTTAACTGAAACCTTAACTGAAATATTCTACACTGTTATAGTTTTAAAACAGTTTATAATATGTGAAGGCTGTTCTTAGTAAACAAGTACAACAGTAAAACCTTTGATTCTCAGTCACACCTCAAAAGAATGTAAGTCTCTCAAACCCAGTAGTGTCTACAGGGTTTGAGTCTGTCAAATGTGAGTAAATAGATGCCATATATAACTGTAATAACAAATGTGGTAATGCAGTTATTACAGCAGTATAAATTACGGCTGATCATGTTTTACATTCTGAGATTTTTACCGTGTCGTGTGCTCTCACCATACCGTGAGATTTTCTAATCAGGCTGAGCTGCTCTGCCCTCTGGCCGGTGACAGCCCGGCATGTCTTCATTGATGGTTATTCTTCCAACTGCGTCTGGCAAATAATTGCTCATCACCGTTGGTTAATTCTGTTTACCACTCTGTCTGTCAGCGCTTGGGTCGGCCATAGCCTTGAGATTAGAGGGCAGCATCTGGACAAATAGATGATTATTGTTATGTCTGTGTGTGTCGTGTGTGTGTGACCGTGTATGAGAGCAAACAAAATCAGCCTCCTTTGAGTCAGGTTGAGCAGATTCTGACCCCCTCCCATCCAGATGCGCCCATTTCCTGTTTCACCCCTGTCCTCGCCCTCTTATCAGTCCCAGAGATCTAAATCCTTTCCCTTTTTTTTTGTGGGACTCACATGTTCCTCTAATATGCTATCACCGAGCAAGTGTATCTCAGCCCTTCTGACCTAAATGGAAGTGACATTCGGCAGGGAAGTGAGCGAGAGATGTGGAGGAGCGTGGTGGCAGAGGGGGTCAAAGATTGCTCAGGGACAAGGTGGAGAGCGTAACACGAAACTATAAATAGCGGTTAAATTTAGCTTTCTCTTTTTTTTTTCCCTCCGTTTTCCAATTTGTGGTGTTTTCCTCCGAAGGGCACATTACGTCGGGGGTCCGCGGTCGGAGACGAAGAGCCCTCTTAACAAGAGGTCAGCGATAAGCCACCCTTTTCCCTCAGTGATCCTCCTCTGACCAGGACACACACCCGCACACACTAATGGCCAATGCTGAGGCTGGATCTCCAACCGGTGACTAAGACATATGAGTGTGCGCCACAGAGCTCACTCAATCATAGCTAATGAGGTCAAGAGGGCATCAAATATTTACAAGAGCTCAGTCCGCCGTGTACAGTGTCGAAGGGGCTGCTGTTTCGACGCAGCGTTGTCAGACCCACGTATGAATTAACCAGATGTGCTTCATTTGTGTAGCTGCTTGCTAAAAGCAAAAGCTCCTTTCTTTCACCTCTTTTTTTTTTCTTTTCTTGTGCCGATATGGCCTTGCGGAATAAAAACAAGCTGTTCTTGTGTGTACGCGAACAAGCTGAATGAGACACTGAGCATATTGACCATGCAAAAGAGGTAAAAGCCCATGGAGATAATACACCAGTGGAGCTGATGAGATCCAATAAAGGAAGAGAGAGGCTTTGAAGTCTTAAGGGAGCCGTGAGAAATAGAGCTTTTTGTTTATTTCTTCCTCTGAGCCCGCATCATCAGTGGCTCCATGAAATGAAGCCGGGATGATGCCAGAGCCGCTGCATGCTTTAAGCCACCCACTCAGGATGTTATGGGCAGCGCCGAATTAGCCAGAACGTGTCTGCATTTGTTCAAGGTGGCAGCGGCTTAGAGCAGCGTCTCCGGATGGTTAGTGGTGAACCAGAGGGAACTGCAGGTGTGAGCTCTGGAGGCAGAGACAGTCTGTCTCCAGGTTTGTTGCTATGATTGTCTTTCACTTGGTTTGTAGAAAACTCTTTCCATGCTGACAAACTACTAAAATTGCTCATCTAATTCCCTTAACTCTGCATATATTTTTGCACCAAACTGCTACTTCATATTTGCCTCTTCTTCAACACCTTGGAATAATAAACTGCAGGAAACTGAGACTGAAGACAAATATGCAGATCAGACCGATAGCACAGTTCACGAGAATGATAATCGAGATTTGTGGTTTAAAAGGTGCTTAGGGTGAAGCTAATCTTCTAATGGCATCAGTTGTAGATTCGGCAATCTGGCTGTTAATCATCATGGGAGCATATTTCAACACAAAGTGTTGTCAGAACGTTTGGGAATGTGCTGACTTTATTCAGGTTCTCGAATGTATGCATAGAAAACATTAGGACATTCTTGTAAAGATTCATCTCGGTTTTATGTGTTTTATGACAAAAGGACTTTTCTGGTATGGAAATGACATTTTTCATACTTGAACTTCGGTCTTCTGTTTTATAATGCGCTGCCAGCGTGTTATGGGTCACCTGACTCAGAGCAGCTCGTCTCACTCAGCTTGCAGCACACATTTCTGACTCCGTTCCAAAATTAGGACTATCACTTGGCAAAACACCGATTGCATGGTCTTCTCTTGACATTTAAAATGCTGTTGCAGTGGACCACTCATTTCTGTTTTGCACAAAGGTGCAAAATAGAAATGTAGCACAAATAGATAGTTTTTTACAGGTTTGTGCCTGGTCCCACCCCAAGTCATTTTCTGACCAATGGGATCAATGACTGTCACCCACATGGCTTTGTATACTAATTATAGTTCGCTTGCAAGAAATCACAATGTGAAAGCAAACTACTGCACCGAACCAAAAACATAAAGTCTGCTTTTGGTCCAAACCAAAAGACTTTCCTGGTGTTAATATGTTCTTAAGTCTCTAAAGTGTGAGTCAAGTCAAGTTTTA